CAATCCACCAAAGTTTTAATTTTTAATAAGTTTAAGCGTTTATGAGTTAATGTCCGACATGTTGACGACGGACAACCTTATACCATAATACATCCCGTAAACGGGCGTATAATGAAACACAATTCAAACAATGAAACTAATGGCATAATTTATAAAACAAATATGTCAGAAATGAACCGACAACTACTGAATCAAACTCCTGTCTTGGGACCGGCACATAAATAATTATCTGGCCTTGGGCTGGGCTGTAGGGCTAAACACAAATGTACAAATTACATAAACAATATATTAGAACACAGGGGCGCGTATCATAGATGTTTTGGGGCGGAAATATATGCCAGTCGACTGGTATGCATTATACATTCATTGTGTTAATGACTTGTATGCGTTATGCATTGTGTTAATAGCTATTAACACAATGTATAATGCATACCAGTCGACTGGCATATATTTCCGCCCCAAAACATCTATGATACGCGCCTAAGCTATTAACACAATGCATAACGCATACAAGTCATTAACACAATGTATAATGCATACCAGTCGACTGGCATATATTTCCGCCCCAAAACATCTATGATACGCGCCATTAACACAATGTATAACGCATACAAGTCGACTGGCATATATTTCCGTCCCAAAACATCTATGATACGCGCCCCTGTAATTATAGAGGCTAAGGAAGTATTGTTTAAATAGCTCTCAGTCTGTTCAAGCCAACAAAGGGCTGACTTGTAACACAGAACTTTTCAGACATGCTCACTGGTTACAAGTGATTACATTTATGAATTTTAAAATCATATAAATAACCCTTAAGTTTAACATCTTTTGTATAATTCGTAATGTTCACTGGACATAAGCATCATAACATCTAGGCAGACTAAATCATCACCCCCCTTTTTGCATTGTGCTTGCTTATAGTTGCAGTCGTATTAATTCTTGGAATATATTAATCAAATTAACCAAGATATTTCCAGAAGCATAACAATGTTTTATAAATGTAAACTAGTGTCATATCTTACCAGTTTTAACGCATGATAAGGTTATTCTTTATTTTGTACGTTTCCTTTGTCTTTGTTTTTAGAAAATGTTTAAAAAACATCGGAGCAATATTGTTAAGAATGTTTTACCCATATGCTTTTAAAATGTTTTTCAGAGGTAGAACCTACATATCTTCTGAACATTTATAAAACATTCAAACAAAATATCTTAAAAAATGATGTTGAAAACATTTTCATGAATATTCTTACATTATTGTAAAAACATTTTCAAAAAATGTTTTAAATAAATGTTTTTAAAATACAAGAAAAAATATCTATATAACATCACAAAAATATTTTTTCGACAACGTTTTGAGAAGACATTTATACAACCTTATAAAAATGTTTTGAAAATGTTTTGTGCTACTTGGGATCATATATATCATATTAGGTTAGTCACTAACACACCCACCATGTAACTAATAATATACTAACCTAATATGATATATATGATTACCATTAAGGATACGTTATTCAAAGGTTCAATAGTTCTGAGATTTGTTGAACAACTTGGTTAATAATTCAGCACATAAATACTGATTGGATTTTTTTTACAATATGAGTGCCGTTTTACTACTTATCAGATGAACCTAGTTACTTACAACAATTAAATGATGCTACAATAGAAACAAGTACACTGATGCTGTGAATGTATTTACCTAAATGAGACAAAAATCTGCTAGGAAAATACTTTTTATTAAGAAAAGAGTTTTAAATTGCAGTTATCGATTGATTGTTGTATGTCTAATGTCCAGTGGCAAATATTTCATTTGTATTATAGACGAAAACAATTAAGAAACGTTATGGCAAAGTTAGGATCCGCAAAGTTGGTGGAAAGGGATGATGGGCGGGATATTTTTACAGCTGCTAGAAAATGAGCTAGGTCACATTTGATAGGTGAGAAAATTTTGTCTTGCAAGAGGCACCCTAAGACCCTCAAAGAGCTGTTGCAAGATTCTTTAAAAAAACAGAGCATGAGAAGTTCCCTGCACGAAGCAACGGGTCGTATGTCCATATTCTGACAGGACGTGCCTGAGTAGTTAAACATCTCTTACGGTCAAATGGCGAAATCCGGGCTTTATTCAATACAAATATATCAAAAACAAGACCATCATTTCTTTTTCTTAAATTCAAATACATGAAAAACGAATTAGCAAGTATAATATGAAAATTACATCCACTTTTCTCATTATCTAGCTCATTTTAAATTTGTCAAACCGATTGTTTATTATCTAGATTTTGGATAATCAATCTGTGCTTACATGTAGAATCTTTAAAAAAATTTCATCAGCTGTTCGATCATCGGTGAAATGTTATTAACTACGTTACTCGAAACAATGATACTTATTTATAATGACAGGCATAGTCAAAGAAATTGCTGTCGGTAGATATTCTGACTCTACGACCCCTGTTCGCACGAGGGAATGTTATAACTATCGGATTTATGGTCAATGATTGTCAAGCCAATACGCGATTAAGTACAAAACATAGAAAACTTTCATTATTTATTATTCGAAACAATTTTTGTCAAATATGAATCATACAACAAATCAATTATTTTAGATTAAAATGAGTTACACTAATAACCATCCAGCTTCGTAACGATATAAACGAAGCGAACTTCGTAATGATATAAACGAAGTCATATCTTTCACTTTGTCGAATTTTGGGATTTTAAAAATTATTGTTCTCAACTGATACTGAAATACAAGCTGTTGTATCAAAACGATTAAAAAAAATATATGTTTGCTTGACGAGCAGTTGCAAAAATTCAAGAGATAGATTGAGAATGACATTTCATGTATCTTCTTTATCTGTTACTATTAGATGGTAGAAGTTTTAAATAAGTATTCAGTGTCAACACATCTGGAATTTGATTTCAAGAATTAAAACAATAAGTTTTCTTTAGATACATTGACTCGACTTATAAGTCTTAATTACGAAGTATGTCCTTTTAGAATATGATTACCCCACGTGTCGATTAGAAATTACACTGGGCTGTCTTGGTCCGAGCTATATATGCGAACAAATAAATGTTTTTGATCGACGATTTTTTTTGTAATTCTACTTTATGACATTATCATTTATTTTCCTGAGGAATTTTTCTTACTTGATCTAGACTCGCATTAGAATGGTTTGATATATCCTAATAATATACCATTTGTAGGAAAAGCGAAGTTTTTAGCTGATCTTTTATTTAATCTTTAAAGAAAGTACATTTACAAATATTTAGCATTTTTCTTCAAATATTTGTTACTGTTGTCTCAGACATTCATACCACATCTCCTTAATTTAAATTTCGTGTAAAAAGTAAAATAACAAAAATACCGAACTTAAAGGAAAATTCAAAACAGAAAGTCCCTTATCAAATGGCAAAATCAAAAGCTCAAACACATCAAACGAATGTAAAACAACTGTCATATTCCTGACTTGGTACAGTCTTTTCCTTATGTAGAAAACGGTGGATTAAACCTGGTTTTATAGCTAACTAAACCTCTCATTCATTTTGTACGACAGTCGTATAGAATTCCATTTTATTGTCAACAGTATGGAAGAACAAACAAAACTATTCTTATTGAACACGAGTTGCACATTTATCTAGTGCACAAACTTAGCGACCAGTGTTTATAGCACTCCTTACACACAAACTGTATTCCAAGAGAGTTATGATGAAGAACGACCGAAATCGACATAATAAGTTTTACGGTCACCATCACAAGTTTGTTGACCGATACGATGTGTCGGTGTCTCAAATCACAATCGACATGTTTTTGCGGTTTTAGATCTTCAGATACTAGAATAGTTGTCTGATCTGTTATTTTACTGATTTTGTCCTATTCCCGAATGTAACATTTTGACTGAGTGCAGATGATTACCCTGTCGCGACAACCGGAATTTTTAATCGATTTACGAGATTTGAACATCTGTAACATACTATAACCTTAATTTTTTCAATTTTCTAAAAAAAATCCCTTACTCTATAAATTAATAATAACATAAATTTGCATGCAAACTTTCAATTGTCTTTGTCATAGATTTAATTTCGTCTTTTTAATAGTGTTGAGACCGGAACAAGTATGATCACACGTACATATAACACACTGACTTTCGTTACATTCAGATACCAGTGGGATATTGTTGATGAAACCTAAATCTAAGCTTTAAGCTTTTAACTGTCGTTACATCGTTACATTTTATGATAATGGCTATAAATATAAAAATTTACAGGGAAAAAAAATATTATATATTTTGGTTCAATGGTAATACCTTCAATGACAGAGGGGTGTGGATTAAATGCATCTGATATTACCCTATTTGTATTTCATAAATTATACTGACTTCATTTTAGCAGCATCTATTCCCCTGGCATCAGTGTCACAAAACACGCACATACGCGCGTGCGATTTATAAAAAATGCTTTAATATTTTATCATTGAACAAGGTTCACAGACATAGTCTACAAATATATCATCATAAAAAGTCACTACAGCGAAGTATTCATTATTAATTATCAATTATAACTTGCTATTTTTAGGGATAAAACAAGTGGCATTTTTCTATTGTGGTAATACACATGTAACTGTTTTGAAATTACAAGAAATGGTTACAGCAAAAACAAACATTCATTATTAAAACGGACAGATATAGATTTTCTGTTTCTGTTGTTGTTGTTGATATTTATAGTTTATCAGATGGATAAACAAAACAAAATATGCCCAAATCTGACATATGATAACCAAATCCAAATTTCTTTTTTCGAAAAATTGTATTGAATATTTTAAGAGAAAAGACTAAAGACTTTATAACTTAATTAAAATCAAATCAATATAAATATAAATATACGTTTTCATCTGTTCTTGGTTAAGTTTAATGTAAGCTTCATTCTCCTTCTAATCATCATCACGGAGGTTTTGATTGTTCCAGGCTTTTTCCCGAAGGTAAACCAAGATATACCGTACTAATCCTTCCCTTGATACTTGCTATTCAGGCTAGAATATGTACAATTGTCTACCCACCAAGCTCCCTGTAGACGTGCAGCACACTGATGTAGATCCTTATCCTTGGTAACAAATGGCATGCCATTCAGAATTTTCATACTGTTACCTGGAGAGAAATTTAGTTTTTTATTAACGGTCAAATATTACCAGTTGTTGCAATATGCTAATGCATGATATGACGGTGTCCATTTCACAAACATATGTGTGTTATTCAATAAAACACTCGATGAGAATGAACCATTTTTTAAAAAATTATACTCTCAGTACTTTAGTAGCGCATATTGTACAGGTTCACTACGGTAAAATGGAGAATTTTCGCTACTTCCGCAATTAAGATAAATAGCAAAAAAAATCTTTTCACGTAAATATTATGATTTGGAAAATCGGAATGCGAAACAACAATATCGCATAAAAAAAAAAAAAAAACAAAAAAAAAAAAAAACATCTAACAGGCATATAAAATACCGCGATAATAAACAACTTAACAGTATAAACATGAAACATGGTGTCATATAGCATATATTTCACTGTAAATTTGCTTGGTTTAAAATACTGTTACTGGATATGACTTTTGAATCTAAAGATTAAATGAAGCCTTTTTGCTGCAGAGGAAAGCTGGTATAAATAAAAAAATTGTTCGACTGCAATTTTTAATATAGAACATAGTAATTATTGAGTATTTTTATATATAGGTAATTGAACTGCGACATCATTATCTAATGAAATATTTACTAATTTTCCTCAGAAAGTTTTCATGTAGTTTTCATGTAAATTATCAAAAAACAATATTATATTTGAATCTCCATATAATGTACAAGCTTTATGTGTTCCAGTTACGGTTCTTTTACCACTGATGTTACATTAGATAAAATGATGGTGGTCACTTTGAAATCTTAGCTTGTGCAAATAAAATATTCGTTAATCAAAAGTTTTCAAAAAGAAAATGAAAACTAGAAAAGGAAAAAAAAAACATTGTTTGAAAAAAGAAAAACTTCTATATAAATTTATAGTCGAAAATAAACTGACAACGCCATGGCTAAAAAAGAAAAAGTCCATCAGACAAACAACAGTACACATATCACAACATGAAAACTAAAGACTGAGCAACATGAACCCTACCGAAAACTGGGGTGATCTCAGGTGCTCCAGAAGGGTAAGCAGATCCTGCTCCACATTTTAAAATGATAAAATAATATATGTATATCAATACCTGCAGTTCCACTGTATCCACTGATTGTCAGCTTAAACTTATTTGACGCGCCATCAAAGGAAAATGTTTTGTATTAAGCATAAGCTTTGTTTCCAGAGAAATCACTTAAATCAACCCTCAAAGTAAAGTTTCCACTTGCAGTAAGTATGTGTAGCTTCTTGTTTCCTAAATAACAAACAAGTAGAACAAAAACAGTATATGTTTGTATTGCAAAGAATACACCTTCGAAAAAGATACCATGATCCCATCACATCTCATAGGAGATATGTGGTAAAAGCTAATGAACATCTCATTTTCAACGAGTCGTAAAATCGTAATTTTCATATCATAGTAAAAGTTCGCTTTACATTGAACATGTGTACTTTTTTGGAGTTGATTTGATAAAACTTTCAGTGTAAACTACTTTAACGAAAAACTTTAACATGATCATTCAGTAAGTTCACACTTATCACATTTTTTTATGTCCAGTAAACTGTGAAATCGGAATCAAAACCGTACTTTATTATATAACTTTTAAAGTGCATAACATAATAAGCATGTGTACTGTGTTTCAAATTGATTTCACTACCCCAAACCCCAAAACTTCAACCTGATACAAGATTGACTAACGGACGAACAGACAGACCACCAGAAAACTTTATGCCCCTCTTTTTATCGTAGAAGGGACAGAAAAAAAAGATAAGATATCAAACGGGCAATCAATTATCTTCAATCCAATAAAAACACAGCTAAGTTATCTAACATATATCTCCATGAACCCCGTTGGGGTCTAAATGTTTGTATTGTTTTTTGCACGGTTCATTGTGATTGTCGGACAAAATTATGAGAGTAAATGTTAGATTTCTTTGCTAGATTTCTTTTATTGATATTACTCCACGGCTTTGTTTTTCAATTCACAGTTGTGGCGTGATCGTCAGTTTGCAAAGGATTCCTCTCAAACCGGTGTTAGGGGCCGTCTTAAACTTGCAGTGAGGTGACAGTTTTATATTTTTTTGCTCCGAGTCAAAGGCCTCACTATGACTTGAAGATGCAGAACAGCAATAAAAGCGCTGTTCTTTGCTTTTTATGGGTGTTTTATTTTTGCTGTGCATATACTGATTTTGTCATGGATGGATACCTCATTTCCTTCCTTTTCTATTTTATAATAACATCATGACCGTGATACAGAAGACTGAAGATTGAGCCACACGAACACCGTCAAAACGAAGTATCACCAGTACGTTATCGTTCATAGTGTATTGAATTTCCTGCATTCAAAGTGTTTATTTATATTTTTCCAAAATTCAAACATTTATTTAGAGGTCAATAAATTAATGTATGCACTTAACTTCTGACACGGACACTAATTTAGAATTAATTGAAGATCTGTCATTTTATGTGCGTATCGCTCTGTTTTAAAGAATTTTTCTCGATATATAATGCCAATATTTAAAAATTCTAGAACATTCCAAAACAGATAACCAAATCGTGATGACGAAGGGAAGATTTACTTTGTATTTGTCTCACTCAGAAAGTTCTAATCCTAAATTGTGTTTACTTCGCACAATGTTTTTCTTTCCTGTACTAATATAACTAGCAGGCAAGTCAGTTTAAAGGATGATATTTCTTTTTCGATCACTTGTCAATGTATATGAACATTGCTTTGATATGGAGGAGCATTAAGCAGCAGTAAATTGTAAGGCAAATACATTATACCCCTTTGGACAGAATGCGTCTTCCTGTCACAATTAAATAATCGTCACATTTTAAATGAAGCCCATAAAGCCAATAATTCTATGGTCGTAAACTCCTACTGACTGAAAATTGAGGAAATTGAATTTGTAAAAATAATATAAAAGAGGTTAACCTTAGAATAGAAATGTGTTCAATGACTCATTTAAATAAGTGATCAATGTTTTGATGGCGAGTTGTTGTTGGACTATAAGATAAATTTTACACGATGCGTACCTAACCAAAATTCTTCTTTATTGTTTCCAAATCCGTCTTCATAATCTTTCCAACCACGGTAAAAGTCAACTTTACCGTCCTGTCTTCGCTGGAACACCTACATATGGTATACGATTAAGAAAAATGAATATTATTCCATTAACACAAACACATAATCATTATTAAATATTTCATAAAAATACCATAACATTCGATGATCACCAAGAACATATTTTGGGGGTTAAATCTCCTTATATGGCAAACACCTAAATTAAATTCCATTTATAAGAGGCATCCTTTTATCATCTAAATACGCCTATCGAAAGGTTAGGAAATAGTCAAATCTTTGAAATTTGCAAGGGGTGCAATTTTGACGAAATTTTCCTTTCTATATTCTCTCCTATTACATATCTATATTCAAGTTTGACAAAAGCAATTGTAAATTTTCTCAAAACAACTAATTGCTAGATACTTGTACAATTTCATAAAACGACTTGTTTAATTGCAAAACGCAAAACATTAAGTTTTCAATCATATAAATTAGAAAAAACCTGACCTTACAAATCAGTTACATTTGACATAAACAAATCATGTATTATGAAAGATAATACTATAAAATATTGATCATATATGCTTCAAACGTTAATAGTATATCTTTGTACAACTTATACACATTTTACTATATGATCGAATAAGAGAAATATTTTATTTTAGTCCGCTGTAGCACGACGTCCGGGTCATCACTTTTAAAATTGCTAAGTCGTGTAAAAATTGTTCCAACACTAAATTATGCACATACATCAAGTTACAAACCATTAGTCGTTGAGTTAATATTCATATGATATTGCTTTAAATTATCTTCATACAAATACAATGTGAGTACTTTGTTGGAAAATATATAATGTATTTGTACATCCTTTAGAAACAGGAACAAAAGGTGGACCTGTCGATCGTTTCTTCTTTTATTGTAGTGGATAAAGATAGATTTGATCTTTTTTGACAATATCAATGCATTTTGTTTCTTCCTTGCAGTGTAACAATAACGATTTAAAGTGTAATCATCTAATTTTTAATACAGCTGTTTGTAAAGGAGGATCCAATAAAGAACTTTGATGTTAACAGTAATTTTAACATTACCCTTCAGTTAAAGTAGGGGCAGTATACCACATTTCAGGATAGACGAGTATGCTTAACGAATTTAACATAATTTTATAATTACAACCGTATTCTTATATTGAAATAGCTAATTCTGGGATAATGTTTTCAACTTACCGTCCATCGACCATCATCTATATCCATGTCACAGTAAACATCAAAAGAGGAACCATTATCTGGAGATATTTTATATACGCCACTTTTATGCTGACTTTTGTTAAGGTCTGAACAATCTCTCGGTTTAAAATCTAAAATCAGAAATAAAATTTTAACACTTAGAGATAAATAAAAATTAACATAACGATATCCTTTAATAAGTAATATATACAACTAAATTGAGAAAAATTGAGCTAAATATGTTTTTATTTAATGAATACGTTTCTTGTTAAAAGACTCATGCTTGCTAATATACTATAGTTTACACGGGGGGAGTGGGGGGGGGGGGGGGGGGGAGGGGGGACAACGATAACATTGCTTGCTAATATACTATAGTTTACACGGGGGGGGGGGGGGGGTATTATTGTTAAAAACAAACTATTTACAACAAACCTGTACAAATGTACAAAAGACTTTTGTATTTATAGTTAAATATTTTGTCAGAATAGTTGGTTAAACTCGTAGAAAAAATATTTCTCATGCAACTTTATTGTTTATTTCTATATCTTGTCCGAAGATAGATTAGTCGTAGTGCCATTACATAAAATGTGATGATGGACGCAACTGTCTTCAGAAAGGTAAAATGTGATGATGGACGCAACTGTCTTCAGAAAGGTAAAAAGGAATACAAAGTGACGTTTCAATCAAGCTATTGAAGCTATTCTATGTTCAATTTCAGTATTGCGGTTGTGGTTGTTGCATAAGTTCAGTGAAATGTGATGATCTTCATGATTTAGATATTTTATCTCATTCTGTTAAAACCTCGCTAAATCTTTTTTTAATGAGAGAATCCACATATACTTATTATAGCATGTACCAATTCGTATGACAACCGAATCATTTATGTCTAATGCGACATTAATCGCAGAAGTTACAAAGAATTTTTATTTAAACCTACCGTTATTTTTAATGTATGTATATTCTTTAAGTTTTGTTGTATTGAAGTCTGCTACTACTGCAACCTTCATATTCACTGTTAAAGAAACAGACTTTCCGCATGACTCAGTTAAACAACTACTAAGTATAATAGCTACTAGTAGACGTTTAAACATTTTGCATATGTAGGTATCCCTAAAAAAAATGAAAATATAGTTGTTTTTTGGAAGGTGTGTCAACAGTAAAACAGTGTTTTATTGCGCCACAAATATGCAATTTAATGTATAAAAAAGAGATGTGATATCCATGGCAATGGCAATGAAAAATGTGAAACAATTCAAACGAGAAAAATAACGGCCTAATTTATAACATTATTTGTGACAGACCTGAACCAACTACATCCACTAAACTCCTGACTTGGGACAGGCACATAAAATGTGGTAAACATGTCCGGTTCTATACAAAGACTAAAAGCTTATGTGGCATCTACAAATGTGTCCCTGACCGTTCATTGTGAGGCTTGTCTTATATTCATCAAGATTTCTTTCGTGCAGTATTCATACAGCATCAATATTATTTTTTATTAAAACACACGTTTTGTGTCATTTTTTGGGGCACTATTCTTGCTGTTTAACTAGCAAACAATGAGGATTATTGGCGAAGTAGTCACTGCCTCGATTATCAACATTATTTAAGCGAAATATTTTACTTGTAAATGTCCACTTCATAATATCTAAGGGTGCATATCCCACAGGTAAGGGCTACTTCAGATGGTTTTGGAGATTCTTAAAAGGACCATTTTCATTTTATACCCCCCACCCAAAAATTTTTTTATTATTTTTCGCTCTTATCTTTTCTGTCGCCAGTGTATCTGATGAGGTTATTTCTGAAACACCCGGTTTGAGCAGAGGATTTAGATTCATTCAAATGTGTGCGGCATCGCCATCAGCACAAAATCAGTAATAAAAATATTATATTATAATTTTGCATCAGAGAGTTCCCTAGCTTACATTTTGTAAATAAGTCAAGTTAGATTAATTTGTTTGTTTGGCCAAATGCCATAACATCAAATACTGTGGTTATTAGACTAGTCAATTCTCGGTAGCTTATGTTTAAAGTGAAATTCTTGCTTTGTTTCACATTTATTTTTACTTCGTCATACATGCAGCCTTTAGCTTGTAAACCTCAACAAATATATATACATGTATACATCAGAAACAACATAATACTTTGTTGTTTCAATTAACAAAACAATCTTACCTTTCGACGATTCTTTCAAATTTGCAGTATGCGTAGAAAGTTGGTCGACTTTATCATATTTATTTCTGCAACATTCCGTGACTATAAGCTATAAAGAGTAATTAAACGTTTGCCTTGAAATATATACCATGCAAACAAAATTTGATACTATTTCATTTTTAGGCACATCGTTATCAAAACTTTCTTTTTTAGAATCGATCATTTGTTTTTAAATATATAAACGATTTGTATCAATTTGTATCAATACACAGAAAGCAGTTTGGGTTTTTATCCAAGGCACTGCTCGAAATGAGTATTAGCTAACATAAATTAAGTCAATGAAATCGGCGATAAGGATTAGATAAGAACGGACCATAAAACTCGCATATATTATTTGGCACAAAATAGTTTGTATTCACACGTAGAGAGGATGGAGACGTAGAGAATATATAACACAGAAACTGCCAGGAAAATTGAACGTTACACACTGATAGTTGCTCAAAACCCTATGTACAAATAAATTCATCAATTTCTGGGGAAATTACCAAACATTTTAAAAAAATCAAATATACAGACTAACGAAGTACAAAACTGATTGACAAATGATCAATTTTAGACAGTTACGGTCATGCATAGATATGGATTGAGTGATTTTTCGACGATATTCCTCGTATATAGAGTGAAAAAATATAAACAGTTGTTTAATTAAATGCTACACCTCGAGATAATTATAACTTGATTTTCGATTGTGTCATTCCTCACTATTTTTCAATAACCTCAAAAATTTAATTATAACTTCAATAATAAAAATTCATCTTCATAATATAAAACAAATAACACTTAACGTTGGTGTTTCCGAAGCACTTAATTGTCGGAGTTATCTTCATCAGGAAATCTAAAACCCAACCACTGAAAGGTTCAGAATGTACATTAGGAGCTTTATGACCACAATGAACCTGAAAAAAAATCTACCTAAAGTAAACTTTGGCTGAGGGAATTGGAATTTTAATATCTTAATAATTTCTAAATCTATCAATGTATATTTTATAAAGGTATGTAACAAATGAGACACGAACTACCTAGCTGTTTTACCCTCGGTGATGAGGCGTGCACCAGTAGCGGTATCAACCCTGTGCTAGACGATGAAACATTTCTGATGTCCGATGCACTTTTCTGGATTGACCTTCAGCGAAACACTCAAAATTAAACATTTAAAAGGCCAGGACAGTGTAAATACACAAAATGTACGTGACTACTTGAGGGCTTTATGACCAAAAGAGACTTTTGAAAAAAAGCTAAATCCAACAATGGCCATCTTTTCCGGAGTAATATTAATCATCGTATCATTAAAGAAAGGTATATTACATAAATCATGTCAGTAAACCGCACTGAAAACTGAGCTGGTGATACCCTTGAGGACTAACAGTCCAGCAAGAGTATCGACCAAGTGCTAAATAAATCAATTTAAAAGTTAGTATTGAAAGTCAACGTTGATCTATTTAAAAGCGAAAATTTATCTATATTTTCAACCGCTCGCTCAACGTGGGAAGGAATTGACGATGCCCCTAAACGCCCGAATAATGTTAACTAAAACCAAAGTTTTTTTGACAGAAATGCAACGAACTCGAGTGGTCTATTGCTGCAACCTTGATGACTGTTCCATAAAAACAAAACTGATTATTCCTGGTATTGATAATAAACATACACTCGTCAAATATCATTAAAGTTGTGTACGCCAAACGCGCGTACACGTTTCGTTTACCTGCAAAAGACTGAATTGTGTATTATAAACACAAACTTGTTGCATAGTCGCCAGTACATTTGTTCTTGTATAATCTATAGAAATAAGGGTTATATTTATTTGTGTGTCATTAAGCATGGAAAACAAATTTAGTGTTTCAATAAAAAATTATTAATAACCCTTATTAAAATTACCATTTAACAGGATGTACCTCTAAATGTTGATTGCACGTCGTTTCCGGTTACGAAAATCAGCTTCGATATGACGAGAGCGAATTTTCTCATTCTTTACGGGACTCGGGCATTAAATTGTATCAGAAAGAATAGCTAAACCGAGTAGCGAAGTAAAAAGTCGAGTCAAAGCTGACGATCAGTGTTCACGACCAAATATCTCACGAAGCACTAGAGAAAATTTAAATATCACGTGGCTATAGAAAATGTGATAACTAACCAGGATCAGTTTTATAAATCACGTGTTGAACACAAAAGAAAAGCAGTAGACATCAGATTAAAGTCTCGCGGCATCGAAATGACGACAATCAAAATATATATATCAGGAATAGCAAGAACATGTTGTCCTTTTAACGCCATGTTGCCGACACAACGAGAACAAATAACAAAACTGAGAAAGTCTGCTCACAACGATTCTATTCGAAAAGAAGAAATCATCAACATCCACCAAACTATTCCCAACTGTGAAATTTAATTTTCGCACGCACCTACCAATATATTGTCTAGGTACAAAATTATGATGAGACCCATCTTTGCCAATGATGACGTAATTGCTGACTATTGTACTAAGTTTGATTCTAATATGCTTGAGAGAAAAAATAGAGGCGAACATCATTCTTAATTACTGCTGCAATCAAGATAACTAAACATGAAACTCTACTAAAAACGATTAGCTTATCTATTGATAACATTCGACGGCAAATGCATCGTATCAGGTTTTTTTCAAAATTAAATTATGGAAATGGCCAACTTACTTGCTAATACATTACCGCTTATTTATTGTAAAACGGCAAACAAAAAAATCATAGAACACAAAAACTGCGCCAACAGAGTTATGAGGATGACACTACATTATTTACAGTCTCATATTTTAAGATAAGAGAAATTCGTCTGATTTGTAAATTATCCGATTATGTACTATTACCGACATTTTGATTTAGTGTGGACACGAACTACCTAGCTGATGATACCCTTGCTGATGAGGCGTGCACCAGTAACGGTATCAACCCAGTGCTAGAAGATGAAAAATTTGGGATGTCCGACGCACTTTTCTGGAATGACCTTCAGCGAAACACTCAAAATTAAATATTTAAAAGCCAACAGTGTAAATACACAATATGTACCAAAAGAGACCTTCAAAAAGTAGCTCAATCCAACTAATGCCATCTTTTCCTGTGTAAAATTAATCATCTTAGTATTAAAGAAAGGCATATTATATAAATCATAAAGAAAGGCATATTATATAAATCATGTCAGTATACCGCACTGACAACTGAGCTGGTGATACCCTCGAGGACTAACAGTCCAGCAGCAAGAGTATTGACCAAGTGCTAAATAAATTAATTCAAAAGTTAGTAATTGAAAGTAAACGTTGACCTATTTGAAAGTGAAAATTTATCTATATTTTCACCACTCGCTCAACGTGGGAAGGAAGTGACGATGCCCCTAAATGATGTTCACTAAAACCAAAGTTTTTGACGGAATGCAACGAACTCGAAAATGGTCTATTGCTGCAACCTTACTGACTGTTCCATAAAAACAAAACTGATTATTCCTGGTATTGATAATAAACATAAACTCATTTAATACCATTAAAATTGTGTACGCAAAACGCGTGTACATGTTTCGTCTACCTACAAAAGACTGAATCATGAATTATAAGCACAAACTTGTTGCATAGTCGTCAGTGCATTTGTTCTTGTATAATTTATAGAAATAATGGTTATTAAAAGAGAGGCGAAAGATACCAAAAGGACATTTAAACTCATAAGTCGAAAATGAACTGACAACGCCATGGCTTAAAAAAAAAAAAAGACCAACAGACAAACAATAGTACACAAAACACAACATAGAAAACTAAAGACTGAGCAACACGAGCCCCACCAAAAACTTGGAAGTGATCTCTGGTGCTCCGGAAGGGGAAGCAGATCCTGCTCCACATGTGGTAACCGTCGTGTTGCTCATATTAGTTCAAACCCGGTAATAAGTCTAATTCGGTAGGTCACATTCGGGAAAAGGGGACGGGATTGTAGTTACGTAATAATTTTTTGTTGAAACACTAAATTTGTTTCCCATGCTTATTGACACACAAACAAATATATTAAATTTACCATTCAACAGGAAGTACCTTTAAATGCTTATTGCACGTTTCCGGTTCCGATATGAAGAGAACAAATTTTCTCATTCTTTACGGAACTCTGGCATTTAATGGTATTAGAAAGAATCCACAATAAAGTTAGAAAAATGTGTGGCTACACAAATTAACCTGAAAAATGTGATGGCAGAAGGACAAAGGCTGCATCACCTTATAGCTAAACCGAGTAGCGAAGCACAAGGTCGAGTCTAAGCTGATGATCAGTGTTCACGACCAAATACCCCACGAACCACTAGAGAAAACTTATATATCACGTGGCTATAGAAAATGTGATAACCAACCAGGATCACGTTCAACACATAAGAAAAGCAGTAGAGATTAGATTGAAGTCTCTTGACAGCAAAATGGCGACAATCAAAATATAGATTTCTGGAATAGTAAAACCATGTTGCCAACATAACGAGAACAAATAACAAAACTGAGAACGTTTGCTCACGAAAAGATGAAATCATCAACATCCACCAAACCGTTCCCAACTGTGAAATTTATTTTTTCGTTATAACTTGATATGAACATCAGACTTTTCTCTATCGCCTCGGTCTTTCACACGCACTTACCAAGATATTGTCCAGAAATTTGTACAAAATTATGATATTGTCTAGAAATTTGTACAAAATTATGATATTGTCTAGAAATTTGTACAAATTATGATGAGACCAATCATTGACTATTTTTAAGTAACTGATGCTATTCTACTAAGTTTGATTCTAAAATGCTTGAGAAAGAAATCAGAGGCGAACATCATTATTAATTACCACTGCAATCAAGATCTCTAAATATGAAACTCTGCTAGAGAAGATTAGCTTATCTACTGATTACATTCGACAGCAAATGCATCGTATCAACTTTTTTTTAGAATTAAATTATGGAAATGGCCAACTTACTTGCACAATACATTACAACTTATTAATTGTAAAACGGCAAACTATAACTTTAGAAGAAAAAATCCTAGAACACAAAAAATGCTCCAACAGA